GGGACCACTGGTCTAAATCATGTCGCAGGAGAGCCTTCTTGCCGGCATACAGCAGCTTTTTATGGCACACGACACAAAAGCAAGCTCCAGGCACTGCGAGTTTGTGACACCAACTGCTCAGCAGCTTCCCGTCTTGTCCCCTTTCCTTTGCCCAGCACCACCTGTTTTTAATGTCTTTCTCACGTAATCGTGTTTCTTTACTGGATGAGACAAACTCCACCTTCTTCCATATCGCATTGATTTAACCGCTGAACCGAACGCATGCTCCTCTTTTCTACAAACCGTTTTACAGTCATTGGTCAAGAACACGGGAGCTAGAGTTCTGATTGGCAGACATCTTTGTCTATTATCTACAGTTTAGTTGAGGCAGGCCGTTTGGTCCAATGCTCGCTTTGCTTGAAAAGCCAGAAGTCTGGCCCCCAGAATGCCACCTCCTCTGCTGCCAGTACCCTCTGCCTTCCTCCATCAGCTGTTAATACAGAACAGACAATCATTATGAGCTACAGGCATCTTTTAGTCATTATGAAACTACAGTGAAATTGTTTGACAACTTCCAGCTTAGTATGCACACATAAGACATTAAAACAAAACAAAACAACAACAACAAAAAAAACCATTATATTAATAAATTCTTACAAAAAATAAAAACTTTAATGAAAAAGAGAAAATACTTGGAAACAATTGGAAGAAAAAAGAATTAAAAGCAGTTGGTAATAAATAGTAAAACATAATTCAACAAACTTTGAGGCAGATAATTTGCCTGGATGGATTTTAATAAATCACAGTGCTTTAATAATTCAAGGAATTGTGACATCCCTAGATTAGTAATAAATCTTACCTGCTTCTTTCTGTAGCTACATCCAGATGACTGGCAGTAGGTCCTGGATGCAGCTGGAAAACATTTTTGTGCATTGTCAATACATAGCATAATTCCATTATGTACATAAACAATATTGAAGCATAAAATATCATCAACATTCTAAAATAGTAGATACTCACACACAGTTGCATCTCTGTCCTCATCACGGACATCAGGACGTTCCTGAAGAGTCTGATTGACACAAATGTGACTCCCATTCTGTGGAGTGTCTGGAAATAAATGTACAATTAAAAAGATATTGTAGCAAAAATATCGCTTTCTCAAAAATACATAAGTAAATAAGTTAAAATTATTCTCAACCAACCATTATACAGACGGGAATCAACGCAGAGACTGTACATAATACATACCGGCTTCATGGCTCCGTCCTCATATCCGTCTGCCATGTTCTCGATCTCTACTGCTTACCACACTCTGCCTTGCTGTACTGCGTTATAACAAAATGAATAAAATAACGGGAAGATCAGTTTTCCTTACAAATATGCGAGTGTTCACTATTGACTAAATGTGAAATCATAACTTACTGAATTTCTCTTTGTCCTGGTGGACTCCGTCAGAACGCCTCGGCACCGTGGTCTGAGGCCTGGCTGTTTAGGCTCGGCCATTTTTTCAGGTCTGAAAAAATAAAAGAAGATGCGAGTATTTTTAAGAGTTCAGAACATCACATGTAATAAAAAATACAATACGAAATCTCTCCCTACACTTGTTTTGACATTATGAAAACGACAGACCGCTTTCTGTAAGAAACAAACAAAGCAACTCGCCTCGCTATTCATAAAAGCTTTCTTACCTGAGTTCGGCCTGTTGGACCGCCGCGGTGTCATCTGTTGTTTTCCGCCGGAACATTGCTTGATATCAAAGCGATACTGAAAAAGTAACTCCGTGAAATAGGACTTTTTCCACCATTTCACACAACGCACGGGCATTTTCCTTCATGTTGGGTTTAGCATTAGCACCCGTTAGCACCGGTGCAAATCTTCCTCTGGAGTTTAATGGCGGCCGCTTGACCGACTATGAAAGCGCATTACTGCCACCAACTGGACTGGAGTGTTAAATGAAAGTTGACAGAAAAAAAAATACATTCTAAAAAGTTATTTTTTCAAAAGTTACGTGATAGTATATTTTATTTTTATTATAATTAATTGCTAAAATGTTTTTTAATGTGTAGATGTTTATTTATTCAATTCTACTTTGAGCTGCCTCCTTTTTAGTTTATACAGAAAATGATTCATAATCCGTGAGTTATATTTAGTGCTTAACTAACAAAACTTAAAAGAAAAGAATACAAATGTTTATACCCTATCAGAAGGTATCACATACTTTCAACCATTTTGTTCTTCAATTTAAACTTGAGAGTTAAGCAACTGAATACTGATAAATCACCTGTAGTTTAAGTCCTGTATTGTGATGTGGAATGGTGTCATTACCACTTCAACATAGCATGACTCTGGGTCCAACATAGCATGACTCTGGGTCCAACATAGCATGACTCTGGGTCCAACATAGCATGACTCTGGGTCCAACATAGCATGACTCTGGGTCTTTAAAGCAATCAGTGAACATTAACATTAGTTTGAATATTATTCACAAAAATACTTTATGTACAATGAACCACTCTGGAACATGTTTTTTATTATTTTTGATTAAGTTGTGCAATTCCTCCCATCACAAGATAAATCTTCAGATGGGAGGAATGTCAAAGTAAGATCACGTTTAACAAAAGTCTACTGTATGTATTCATGCATATTCTGCTTTTATATCATCAATTCAACCAAACTAAGTTTTTCAGTGCTCCTAACACACATGTAAAATATATTTTAATGGATAAGATAGATTATTGTTTTAATATTAATATTAATATTCTAACCCTTCTCCAAACATACTTCTTCATGGCATACTTCTATAACTGAACAATACCTACAGACGTCTCAAAATGTGTTAAACTGTTTGGCCCATTGCACTGCAACACCAACATGTATTTACATCTCCATTTGAAGGAGTACATGTTGGAATACAGGCTTTTTTGAGCCAGTATTCCAGTATTTGTGATTAAATACTGAGAATGTTTAATCACAAAGTCCAGATTAGGAGACAGTTTCAGAAGAGTCAACAAAAGCTTAGTATGCCATGAACATCTGCCTGTGATACTATAATGATGACCAATGACTATAATGGAACTTTGTCATGATGACACAACTGATGCTTTATGTGAAGCTCAGTGTTTTCACGTTGGCAGAAACACTTCGGTCTGCATTCCATCACACTATCTTGGATGAGCTTGACAGACATGCAATGTTGACAATATATCATCAGATTTACCCTGAAAATTGTACTTTGATATGCACACTTAAGTGTTAAGGTTACATCCCTAAGTTGAGCTAAGTGTGTTCAGTGCTGGATGGTGAATGTCACACTAAATTTGTTCCATTTGTGTGACTTTGTAACATTAGAACATTTTCAGCATTAATGCCTGTTTTATACTTAAATCTCATTATTTCTCAATTAATAACACTGAGGGGTTTTGGCCAGGTCCTGGGTCTAGTAAACAGGTGAACAGAAGGTAAAATGGTTTAGCTACAACAGGAATGAGAGTCAAAAGGCCGGTGCTCAACAGTTGATTTGCATTTGCATGGCTCTCAGCAACTTCATTTAAATACGAAAACCTCTGCTAGGCACAAGGGGAGGGGGGTGATAGGGGAACACGGACACACAGCGTTTATGACCATTCTTGGAAGTGCCCTACAATTTTCCACTGACATAAACCTCTTGCCAATAGTGTCATTAGCTGTCAAAAATCCCACTTTTCATGCACCATAACCACTGGCATCTGCTGATCATTTGTCAATTAGCAGCTAACCGCTAATCCAGTTAGTTCATGTCTTCATCATCCTGAACAAACAACAAGGAGAGAGACACAGTCTGTGTCTTCTCGAGGAATCCATGCTGTTTCCTGCTGCACGGGCCCCATCATCGGGTCCAGAAAGGCCCCATAATCAGGGCCAGAATGGGCCCCATCACTGGTCCTGCTTTGACCAGTCTGATCAGATCAAACTGGATCCATTTGGTTCAGAGAGCAGCTGAGCAGATCCATGATCTACAGTTCAGAGGATGGGAGAGAATCAGGAAACACAGCAGAGGTCAGAGGTCAGAGGGGAAGCGGATTCACTGAGGGCAGGAAGTGAATAAATTCTTCAGCCCACAAACCGTAAAAATCCCAGGTCTAGTCCAGTTCAGCACTCGTAGGTGTGTGTGTGTGTGTGTGTGTGTCTGTGTGTGTGAAGCTGTTTTCTGCTGTTCTCCTGGTAATCTCCCTTCTCTCTTCTCTCCTCCCATCAGCCATCTGTGCAGGCGGCTGCGGTGGGCACCGCGGCGTGTGCGAGGCGCCCGGACGCTGCCGGTGTAACGTGGGCTGGGAGGGGCAGCGCTGCGACAGCTGCCAGCGGCACCCCGGCTGCCTGCACGGCACCTGCCAGCTGCCCTGGGAGTGCAGCTGCAATGAGGGCTGGGGAGGCCTGTACTGCGACCAAGGTGGGTCCGACCCGGTCCGGTTTCCTCTAAAATGGCTAAAGACAAGACACCAGACTGACCTTTGACTTCTGGAGTCCACACAGAGCAGACCCGATGTGAGGCCCGGTTCTAAGGGCCACAGGTCCAAACCGGTCACATGACCCGGTGTCGACCCATTGGGTCAGTCGGACTGACAGACGTAGCATTCACTAAAGAATCCTGGAAAAGTTCTGATCCAGATGGTCCGTTTTTCCGGTCTGACCTGGTCCACACAGAACCAGCAGCAGAACCGCCTGCTGGTCCAGAGGGAGGAGGCGGGGCTTAACCTGGTCCAGAGCTTGTTTACTGTGAATCGACCCAATTAGAAACAGAACCAGGAAAAACTCTGACATCAGCTCAGAACCAACAGGAAGTCCCGTGTCTCAACTTCCTGTTTGGTTTTAGGTCCCTTAGTGAATGTCAGCATGACTGAACCTGACCAGACTAATAAAGACTTACTGAGACCAACCAGTAAAAACCCAACAGAGTCTTTGAATTTTGGTTCAACAGAATCAATCAATCAATCAATCAATCAATCTTTGCATAGCACATTTCAGCACATTGATGTTCCCATAGCAACTCAAACCAGCTGGTTTTAGTCTGGGTTTAAAGGAACTTAGTGAAGGACTGTAGAACCGGGTTGGTGTCTCTGCCTTCCTGGTTTTAGTCAGAAATCCAGCAGCAGCGTTCTGGATCAGCTGCACACTGTGTATGTATACGTGTGTGTGTGTGTGTGTGTGTGTGTGTGTGTGGTGAGTACACCCCTGACATTTCTGCAGATATTTAAGTAAATCTTTTGGGACAACACTGACAAACTGGCAGTTATCTGTGTGCAGCTTTTATAACAATGTAAATAACTCTGTATACATCCATTAAAGTCTAAACTACCGGCAACAAAAGAGACGACACCCCCAAAGGTCCAAACTGAGCGCTGCTCGTCATTTTCCCTCCAAAATGTCATGTGACCAGTTAGTGTTAGTAGGCCTCAGGTGTGCATAGGGAGCAGGTGTGTTCAGTTTTGTAGTGCAGCTCTCAGTCTGTCCTACTGAAGGTCCAACATGGCAAAGATCTCTGACGATCCTAAAACACGAATTGTTGCGCCGCATGAAGACGGCCAAGGCTGCAGGAGGATTGCTGCCACCTGAACTGAGCTGCAGCCCAGTGGCCAAGATCATCCGGCTTTCTGAAGAGCAGGTCCTCAGAACAGACCTCATGTTCCTGCTCAGCGCCACGTCCAGATGCTGTGTTTGAAAGACGGGTGGAGGGGCTCTGTCAGCGTTGCTGCAGAGATCTCAGAGGTCGGAGGTCAGCCTATCGGTGCTCAGACCAAACGCCACACACTACATCAACTTGGTCTGCATGGCTGTCACCCCAGAAGGAAGCCTGTTCTGAAGTCTGCACACAGTCAACATGTCAACAAAGGACACGGATACTGAACCAGGTCCTGAGGTCTGATGGGACCAAGATCCGTTAGTTTGGTTCAGATGGTCTCCAGCATGTGTGGCAGCTGTCAGGTGAGGAGGACAAAGATACGTGTGTGATGCCTCCAGCCAAGCATGGTGGAGGGAGAGCCATGGTCTGGGCCACAAGTTTTGAGAAAGCAGAGTGAATATTTGAAAGAGAGCAGAAGTTTTGGAGTAACAAACGTTAAAGTTTGAGAAGAAAGACATGAAGTCCTGCTTTCAGACTGAAACTGTGTGCTCTGGAAATATGGCAGGAAAATTACCCCATACTCCAATAACTGAAGCTGTGTGTTGACTCTAGATCTACAACATTAGAGCTACACTCTAGATCTAGTATGCATTATATATATATATATATTAGATCTATAAATCTAGATCTATAACTCTAGATCGTTCCTTTTTAATAACTTCAGTTTCCACACATATCTCTGTTCTCAGCATCTGTTCAGTGATTGGATGGGTCAAAAGTCACCTGGTGACATCATAATGTAGAGCTGTTATCATTTGCGTCGTCATGGTAACTGATCTTATTTCCTGTTGTAACCTGAGCCGTAGGTGCCAGAATAGGGGGGCCCTGGGGGACATCGGCCCCCTGGCCCCCCCACTCTACGGCCCTGCCCGTCTGCTGGTCCTCCAGTCATTTCCACAGTCTGACAGCCGTCAGTGTTTCTATGCAGACAGAGGCACAGATAAAACCTGCAGCACTGAGATCTGGACCAAAAGGCTCCAGATCATAACGGTCACCCAACGGTTTACCACATGGCAGCTCCGGGTCGGGTTGGGACCAGGACCCGGTCTGACAGCTGA